TTAGATTCATATTCGGATTATGCGTTCCTGGGCCAGTCGGTGACCATTTAATCGTGTAGATTTCTTTACTATGGGCTTGCAGATCGTGTACCCAAGTATCCTGTTTCATAGACCAAATTTTCAGACTCATATCGTCCGAACAACTGGCCAACAGGTTTCCTTGTGGGTCCCATTTAATTGCATTGACTTCGTTCTGCAAAATACACAAGAAAAATGAGAAAAAAAATAAAGGAAAATGCTTAATTAAATCATGGTGATTTCCTTGCATCACATATACGCACTGTATGTCCCTGAAAGCTCTTAATGGGCTTATCGACGTTAAGTTTGCATACATGTATGCACTGATCTGTAGAACAGCTTGCGAATGACGTGTTTGTTTGCCAATCGACATCCAAAGCAGGTGCACAATGAAAACTGAACTGTTGTGTACATTGTCCGCTTTCGGCATCCCAAATAATCGTCGTCTTATCGACGCCAGCACTTAGAATGTAATTGCCACGTTTGTTCCATTTCAGTGCGAAAATCGGACCTTTGTGTTGGCCCAAAGTAGATGCCAGACGGCCGTCTGTTGTCCAGATTCGTGCATATCCGTCATAACTTCCTGTCGCAAGTAATGTGCCATCACACTGTAAAAATTTGAAATGCACGTTTGCATCAACCTCTTCAAAAATAAATAAAAACGTATTATAAAACGAGATTTGGTCCAAATTTTGATCATGTCCAGATAGCACGCATATGAAAACCAAAATATAATGTCTTAAAAATCTCATAAAGACGTTTTTTTTTTATTTTGGATGTGTGCTGTCTAGGCATTTCTTAAAATTTGGGCCAAAGTTATCCCGACTGTGGATCAAAATTATTTCATTTTACAATATCCAGTTTGTACCTTCCAATCCAACGATGTAACATCTTTATTGCTGGGTACTTCAGTACCACCCTTCTGAATACAGTGACGTAGAACTAACTGATTTGGAGCTTGTGAGTTGTCTGACATATCCCAAATACGAGCAGTACTATCACCTGAACCAGAAGCCAACAAATCAGTTGTTGGGTTCCAGGCACAAATAAACACCTCCGATTCATGACCGCGTAATTTAGTGGCTTTACTAGCAGGGATTTCGACGGTACTAGCGTTGGAGCCTGCATTTGCACCTGTTGTCGGTTCATCCACTTCCATCTCTGTTCCCCGATCCCCACCTCGGTCATTATTATTTACACCTTCATTAGATGTAACAACTGAGAAAAGAAACGCACGTTTATGTTGATTAATTTAAAAGGATTTCTTATAACGTTTTGGAAGAATAAAACAAATTCCTCTTCCCAATAATTATTCTAAGAATGGAAATAATAATGGAAAGACAACTGCTGTTAAATCATGAGTTACATTAGCTTATATTTATTATTATCGTTTGAAAATAATGCTTTACATATATTTTTACTTATTATTTAATTAGTTCATTTAAATTGTTTGCCACTAGTTGACAGTCAGATTGATATGATGAGAGTTATATGCTGTCTCTTCTGGCTGCAACCAATGCAATATGTTCCATCATAGAGGAATCATATTTTTATCGTCATGTCTGACAGAAGTGACAAGCTGTAGCTCGCAAAATGACTGAAATCTATGGCCGTCCTGTTTTAATCTACCTGAATTTTAAGGAGGTCTGAAAATTATTTTCTTCTCCAGACCAGGGTGTATCAGGCTTTCAATAATACTTATTATTTTCTATGTAATCTTAATTGCTAGTGTAATTTTAACTGTAACAGATATATCTGTATCAGATTAGATATTGAAATTGGATTTGAATTTAACCAATCGGAAGAAAGAAAACCAATATCAGGTTTAATAAATTTTGCTCTGATTGATTAAATTTCAATTCAATCTCAATCTCCTATCCGATACAGATAGTTTCATTTTCATAATATATAATTATCAAAAAATTAAAGATTGCCAAGAAAGTCATCAATGAAATTCATTCATAAATTTCTTGGCAATCTTTAATCTTTAAGTAACCATATGTCATGAAAACAAGTCTTACATGTATAAAAAAATTCAAAACACAAGTCTATTTTGACTGTTATGTAAATATTTGTAACACATAATAGATTACCTTCTTCGCCATTGGTATCTTGACCTTCGGTCTTCACCTGTTGTTTCTGTTGATTGATTTGATTCTGCCGTGTCGCAACAATGTCTGGCATAACAGCATCTATGAGCGACAAAGATTCTACCATTCTATGTTCGGTACCATCTTCGCCGATCATAATCTCAGCTTCTGTGTATTGTAATCCCTTCTGAATTATGGACAAGAGTGCTGCCGGTGGTACAAGGGCTCCATTGATATTACTCTGTGATATGTGGGACTCAATTCCAAACGTATATGCAGAATGTTGGAAACCTGCAGAAGACAAAGACACACAAATAAGATCATAATAATGAAACAGAGCAAATTGCTTGAACGATGATAAATTTAGACAAACTTAGATGCATTTAATTCAGGATGATAAATCATGTTGATAAACAACTTTTATGGCAACAAGTTGATAGACAAATCTTATGAATCATTTGGGTGACTCAATTTTAGCTACACTTAAATCACTAGCCTTCTTACAAAGATTAACTTATCATATCTGTTTATATCAATATAGAGAAACTTTACTTTAATCTCAATTCAATTTACTTTTCATCTTTTCTAATTCTAAAAATTAGAAAAGAATAGAGCTTAAATCGAGATTAAACCCACACAGTACAATTTATCTTATCAATTTATTTTGGAAATGTTCTTGAAATGTTGATAGGACAGAAGAATGCGTTCCGTTTCTTGCACGATATATAAGAATATTAAAGGAAAAGATACATCATAGTACATCATGAATATGTGAAATACGCGAAAAACGGAATGCACTCATTAACATTCTTTGGAGATTTGTGCAGTTTGAGAAATTCATTATCTACATTGATGAAAATGGACACCAATCGCGTATGAAATCGCGCGTCAAGATCACAAAATTGCCGGGTTTCCGTAGCGCGTGGTGTAGCGGACGCAGCCGTAGCGATCGTTAATCGCGCCGCAAGCAACGAAATCATACCGGATTCCTGTAGGTATCGGTAGACCAAGAAATTGACCTCATCGCTGGAGAAGCTCATCGTGTCTGACATTCACGGTATTAGCACAGCATATTCACGATGTGGATTCCGTTGTGAGGCCGTTCTTCGAGTCGGTCGCGGCCGCGTACAACGCGGCACAACGCGGAGCCTGCCTGCGTCCTGGAAATTGCTGAAAACAAAGTTCCACTTCGCCGCTGCTCGCCGCTGCTGGCCGCTGCTGGCCGCTGCCCGCCACTGTTTTATCGCGTCGTAACCAAACCAACAATTTACCGAACCGAACCCGATTCGAAGGAAGAAATGGACACCGACGGTGAACAATGAATTATGGAATGGATATCACGAACACCGGCGGTGCCGATGTGCTAAAACTGGCCAAAACGGCGGCAAACCACGGCCAACTAATGAGTGGTTCATAGTATTCACAGAATTCACAGCATTGGATGCATTCAGTACTTCACCGCTCAGTGAGCTCTTGTATCTGTTTGGTCTATATTTTTAGTTCTAACGGAATATGCCAATAAGATGCGAGCGCTCACTGAACGCTCAGTCTTGACACGAACCAATCAGAGAGCCGCATTAGTGTCTTAAGACATTACCCTATAAGCGTATAATATTATTTAATATTAAATAATATTTTAGGCATATTCTCAGAATATTAAATATATAACATTTTGATAATATTTTACTAAAATTATATAATATTAAATAATATTCCTGAAATATATTAATGGATGGTTATATGTC